AATTGACGATATTTAATTGCTTGAAAAACCATAAGCATCAAGATAATTGTAATTATGTCGTATACGTAAGCAACTTCAAACATATTTTGTAAGCTATTTCCGAAAAAAACGTTTTTTTTAAATGAAAATATGATTTAATTACGAATCGAAGTAAATACTTTTATTGATGAGATTAAATTTGTTAAGGGCTAAGAATGAATACAATTTTAAAAAAGTGTTCTTTTACAGAACAAATAATGAATTCCATCCCATTAGACTTTTTGATAGATTAGAACTAGTAACTTGGTACAATGTGTGTGTGGGAAATTTAGGGAATTTTTTATGCGATGTCAACGAATAATTAAAAATAATGTTTTTTTTCGGACTGTAGACTTTCATGGTGAGATTAATAATTGCGTTGATTACTAAAAAAATGTATTAAGAGTTATTTAAGTATATATATATATATATATATATATATATTGAATAAATTCAAAATAGACAAATAAACTATCTGTTGGGGATGTTAGATCCCCATAACTCGCTTGATAAATGCCTAATTTGGGATTTCACGTTTGCGAGTATGGGCTGATCAGTTGACCTTGAGATTTCATTTCCCACCAGGAAAATCCCTGGCTGTAATTGGCTGCTGTGTATTTTAGTGTGCTATTTTCGTAACTGTCCCAAGGACGTTTCTATGATGAATAAATTAACGAAAGTTGTGTGCTTGATTATATAGTAATTGCTGGGTGTTGTAGAATATATTTTCTACGCTTACCAAGTCTTCTGTTTTACAGTTTGGGATTCAAGGTAGCCTAGCTGGACGCTGGTAATTGTGTCGTTCACGTTTATCGACTAAGGTGAACTCGTAGTAGCTTCAAGCGTACCTAGTAAAGAACATAACTCTATCTTATTTTAAAAAATTCTTCTACTAAGACATCTTTTAACCAATTCCCTACATCGATAAGCGTATAAGAAACAAAACTAATCAAGTTAGGGCAGAAATGAATGACTAAATTCAGGTATACTATTAAAAATTTATGTGTATAACATATATATATATATATATATATATATATATATATATATATACATATATATGTACAATTTTTAGTATGTTGGAAAGTACATTACTAATAATGGTAGGAATGATAATATTTACAGTAATAATGACAGATAATCAAATATCACGATAAAGTGGGTTAAAACTTATGAATAATAAACGACACTTAATATTTAAAAAATCAGCTGAAATGCACATTATAAAGAGAAGTAAAATGCAAATTGATGCAAAGTGCTTATTATTCATGAATAAGTTATCTCTAACCAATCAATAAATGTCATACTGATGTTGCCATTTGTTAGGTTCGTCACTAGGTATGCCTAAAGCCACTACGAGTTCACCTTAGTCGATAAACGTGAACGACACAATTACCAGCGTCCAGCTAGGCTACCTTGAATCCCAAACTGTAAAACAGAAGACTTGGTAAGCGTAGAAAATATATTCTACAACACCCAGCAATTACTATATAATCAAGCACACAACTTTCGTTAATTTATTCATCATAGAAACGTCCTTGGGACAGTTACGAAAATAGCACACTAAAATACACAGCAGCCAATTACAGCCAGGGATTTTCCTGGTGGGAAATGAAATCTCAAGGTCAACTGATCAGCCCATACTCGCAAACGTGAAATCCCAAATTAGGCATTTATCAAGCGAGTTATGGGGATCTAAAGTCCCCAACACCATGTTTCCTTTTTATCGAAAAATGAGGTTTTCAGTTTGTACACACATAGTAGTCGCTATAAAATCTGTTCAACGATTTTGAGCTCTGTTCATCATCGACTGTTTGTTGAATAAGAAAACTAACGTAACATGTTACTCTAATAACCACCAGACTGCTGTTATCGGCTAAGTCTAAAGCTTATTTGAATATTGGAAATTCGTATACTATTTATTAATTTTAACTGCTACAATTAAAACAAAAGCTACTACTTTAAGATCCATATTTTGAAGGCTTTGTTTGTGAAAACCCCTTCATGTATACAATTGTAATTTGTCCTTATTGATTCCTTCAGTTGTACAGTTTGTTAATCTGTTCGATTTCATTTTAAGATGATAATATTTGTATTTTATTATAGTTTCTATTTCTTTTTTGCCTCTACTGAGTTTCTATGTTTCTTTCTGAACTGCACTATGGTGATACTTAGTCACTGCAACAGCCATATTGATTTGTTCCTCTTTTGATAGGATTGCTTGCTTTGACTCGAATTGTGCATTTTGATTGTGAATTGAAGTACTCTATGTTATAAAGCAACCAAATATTATATTTTAGACGAATCTGATCTATCCAGGAGGGATAGAATATCATTCATTTGAATAATTGAACAATTATTGGTGGAATAGTTGTGGTAATATTGTTTACGTAATGATGTATACTTATATTTATGATAAATATTAGAACCGTTATTTATCCAAATCACTTATTTCGAATTCAACCGGGCAAGACGCGTATCTAAACTACCGAGACAATTATTCCTCAATACAAACGTCACTTTGGATCCTATATTACGACTATTATTATTATTATTATTATTATTAGTGTTATCCTTTTTGATAGTATTTAATATGTGCATGTTATTAATTTCCATTTGTCATTCATTTTTTTTCTTCTGTTATCATTACCAATATTTAAAATGGCACCAGTTAGGTTAATGCATAAATTTATGTTTCTATGAAATTTAAGTGACTATTAAAATAAACCTGGATAGGAATATAATGACGAATAATTTATTGTTCATCAATAATATCTCGTTTTTAAAAGAGCCTATGCATGTATTATGTTGTATAATGGAATGAATTAATTATCATTGGGTATTATGATTACTTTTTAATTTGATCATAGAAGTTTCGTTCTATTTACCATGAAATATCCATTAGATAAATATATACATATGTTTATATCTGAAGTGCACTAAATGATTACTGTATTTAATTAGACATGAAAATGCTAATTTTTAAAAAAAAACTTTACTCATTGCTTTACATGTAATTATTAAGCCCGATTGAAAGTTGTGTTCAATACTGTTCATTTCTATCAGTTTATAGTCACATTAGGTCTATATTATCATATTAAGGCATATTGTTTGTTTTGATTCTCAAGAATCCAATTTTCATGTTGAATGCTAATTTTAAAACTTAATTCTTCAGTACAATTACAGACTGTCAATAGAATTGCTCGAACATTTTTTTGCCGATGATGATCGTAAACATTCTTCCTTATAGTTAGTTCCATTAAGTTTACGCTTACAGCTTACAAATTCACAACATTAGCTGTTTATAATCATTTTCATGTCATGATATCTGTTTATTTTCAGTGTCTTAATAAATGAAATTAATTTCAATCTCATACTGTTCAAAAAACTATTATTTACTTGATAATTGATAATATATACTTATTGTTCGCATTAAATTTTGTAACTGTATAAATGCAGATATAAGTTAATACTTGAAGATTCATAATAAACTATCATTACAAACAGAAACTAAACAATGACAAATCAAAGATTTAATTATATTGTGATTTAATATTTTACTTTTGAAGTTTGTAGATTGAAAAATTATCGTAAATAACAATAGAGAATCTGACGAAAAATGATAAGATATTGATTGTATCGAAAGAAATGAAATTTGTAAGTCTTAATTTACTGTTAAATGGTACTGAAATAAAATGATATTTTGAATGATTTAAAAGTTTAAAAAAGTTTTCAAAAAAATTATAACGATAAAGGAAAATAAAAATGTATGTTGGAAATCAATGAAAAATCTATTTTCTGAAGCTTTTCTCTGAACGAAGACCTATTTCTTAGATTTCGTCAAAGCTAACACTTTCGTAAAGTAAATTTTATAAGATCCTAAGTTTGATCTCAAAAATAACATAGAGATAAGTTTAATGTTACGTAATATGTGATTTTTAAGGAGTTTTGTTCATAAATCATTCAGCAATTATTTCTCTTCATATGTATCTGGCTTCATAAGAGTGGATAAACAAGTATATCCACAATAAATCGGTCAGTGACTAGCTGCAATAGGTCAATCCACTTTACATACGCTGTGCGCATAAGTATATAAGTGAGTATCTAACACATGACGCTCACATGGAGGTTAGTCTTTATCAAATCGGCTTTGAAAGATTTGAGGCTTTCCCCATTTACCTTCTGTGGAGAATACTGACGCTCAGGAGATTGCGTAACTATTGAGACGCATAGGTTGGTTGATAAGGGCAAAGCTTATAATATTTATTCACCTGTTCAATTTAGACATACCTTCATATCATCCCACTACTTTACTAAGTGAGTATAACGTCCATTAATGAAACCTTACCGTTCTCACATTTTTCAAGATGATTGGAATAATTAAACGAATTACATTGAGCGCCTCATGTAGATTTTTAGAACTATGGATTCAGTCATGGATAACAAATAAATCATTAATACATCTTTTGTATATATTCAAGTTTCATAAAAGATTTCGTCGAGATAATATTCTCAATACATTGCGTAATGAAATCACATCCTAATGATATTCTAGTCATTACTATTTATTTTAAGTAACTGATGGAACATAACAGTTTAGATTACAATCCTGAAAATGATTTTTGTTGAACAAAATTACTATATGCTAGTATTCATTTTGCGATTATTGCGATACATAATATGTTTCTAATTATTTGACGGAATTTCTGAGTATTTACTAAACAGCTAGAGTTTAGTGTCGATGTGTTTTATTCTTTGGTTAACTATTAGATAATCTACAGAAAGATAATAGTTCATCATCCTTTTGGTGTTATTTTTCAATGGTATTGAAGACTGTTTCTATCAGTCCAAAGAAATGTGTCGGTAGATTGATTGATTTGATTCATTATTGTAGATAGATTTGTTTTCATCCTAAGCAGTTTGTATTATTATATGAGAGAAAATGCAACAACAACAACAACAATAATGATGATGATGAAAATCTTTAATTCACATATCCTGAAAAATCATTTACACTAAAAACAAAAACAAAAAAAAATAATGTTTCATTGACGACGTTTACAACGATATTCATAAAATGCATGAATGTTGGAAAGTATGGCAATATTGTCTTTCGAACACATTAGTTTATCATCCTCCTAACAAGAAAAGGCATCAGTAATGTTTACATCGAAGCACAATGAGATGTAAATGTTTGACGACGTGTCTGTTGGATGAAACTAACTGTATGTGAATGAAAGAAACAATGTAGGGGCATTTTTTAAAAAATAACATTACACGATAGTGAAGGTAATGAATGCAAGTAAGCATTTTAAGAAGCCTTGTGAAGTATAATTAACATATAAAATCAATAGAGGATGTACTTGTTACGGATATTAAAAACATACATTCACACTGGGTCAGAGAAATCATGTGTAGCTTCCATGATAAACTGATGATAAGCATGAAAATTTCATTAACAATATGTAATCAAGTGTGAAATAGACAACAATTTAAAATCAAAATTATTCACAATAATTTATAGCTTTATAAAATAAGATAGTTAGTTATTCAACTAACAATATATGATAGTTATTCAATTTTCAGTCAGAGTTTGTGTAATATTTGTTTGTCACTGATTGGTTATCATTTTCTGTATCTTTTGTTAATGTATAAGAATTGTGAATTATTTCGGAGACTGGAGTTTCTTCATTATTATTATTACTATTATTATTACTATTAGTATTATCACAATTTAACTGCCAACAATTTTGGCCTTGTTGATGTTGATGACACTGAGGATGATGATGAAGATGATGATGATGATGATGATGATGACTATTATTATTCGAGATGACTGACGATTTCAAATCTGGCTGATAAAATCGATTAGGTTGCATGGCTTCTTTTTCATTTAAACACTGTTGCGTACAATTAATTGGCCTAGTTTTTAAATTTTGATTTAATTGATAAGTTTTGTTTGATTGTGCTAATTTCATATCATTTTTACAACAAAGTAAATAAATAAATTCAACTAATTCCACAATAAATGCCATTGTTAATCCAATACATAATGAACATAAACCACCTATACGTGAGATTAATATATAAATATCAAATACCAAACGTTCTTCTTTCATTAATGTGTCAAAATCTTGTCTAATTAAACTAATATATGTATGCGTTCCATCATCGAATCGTTGATAATCATTAGAAAATAATGTACTCATTGAAGTTAATTGATTGATATTTTTAATTGGATCTATTGAAGCATCAAAATTCTCTAATAATTCATCAATATGTTTTCGTTGATTTGGTTCATTTAAAAATTTATCAACATGTCTATAACCTTTGGTGTATAAAGCCAATTTTAATGGATCTGGATCCCATGATGTAACACTTAATTTTGTATCATAGGTATAATAACCACAACGTGGTATACAAACACCTTGTTGTACAGCTTTCTCTTTAAGTTGCTTTAAATCAGCTAGCACTGTGCCAAAACAATCAAGACGTGTTTTCATTTCTTCAGCTCCATGTATATCATTCACATTAGTTGGTAATTTTTGACAATATGGTAAAGATTTTTGATCATCTAACAATTTAATTGGTCGAGGCCATTCAGAATTTAAACAACCACATCTTGTGAATAATTCATTTTGTAGCATACGATTAAGGCACTGACTTTGTTTATAAGTATAATATACACCGAGATCTTCAATGGAAATATTTTCATTGGTACATGGTGCAACTGGTGTATGTAGACGTTTCCAATAGACTGTTTCATAATTAATTTCATTCATACGACCAGGTTGTATATTCACGCCATGTTTCTCAATTTCTGGATAAGTGCCTTTTTCATGTATGACAACTTTAATGCCTTCACCACGTGTGAATGAATCCATAATAAATGAAGTATTTGCACCTTCGATTTTCTTCAGCGGTATTAAATGTGCTAGAATAATTAACCGTGTAACATCAGATGTTGAAGCATTTGGTTTACCATCTATAGTCCAACAGTTAAAGTATTTCGGATGTGTGAAACGTCTTATTCGCACAGATGTTTCTGGTTCTAAATCACATTTTTCCGCTACAACTGTTGAACCTTCTTCATACAACATACAATGATAAAGCATATCTTTATCATGGCCAACTTTAATTGTATCATCAGAATTTAAATTAGCATAATAAAATTCTATTGAATCTGAAAAAGCTAAATCTCCTGTGTAATCTGTTATACCATTATCTAACATTGTTACTAATAGCTGTCTTAAACGTGATTTAATCTCTCTTGGACTTGGTACCAAATTTTCTTTCCATAATGTATTCACATTTAAAGAAAATGGATTATGTGCACATAATGTGATAGCGGGAAATTCTGATTTATCATCTAGCAAACTACGTGTATTCCATGCTGTTGAATAACATAAATAATCAGAAATTAAAAAACCCGAGCTAACCATTAAAACACATGTCATGATAATGACAAATAAAATCCATAAAATACGTATAAATGGAATTTGTGAACTGTAAATTCTTTGTACACCACGTATTGACGAGAGAACACAAAATAATTCCAATTTACCTTTGGGTTTATTTCTTCCAGTTGAAACAAAACTATTATTATTATTATTATTATTAGGAATTGATACATTTTGATTTGTACCACCTGTTGAACAAGTTAAACACGTCGGTTTATATTCTGATTGATGATGACAATGCATACATTTGTTTTGTTCAGTATAATTTGCTGATAAACTATTTTCTTTTACATTATAAATCATTGTGTTGTTGACACATGAGTTTGATGTTGTGATCAGATGAATTTGATTTGTTGATGTTCAAACATAATCTTGTCCTAGAAGATTTGATAAAAGTTTCATTTTGACTAGTGAAGAAAAAAAAAGAAATAAATTTTTGGGAAAATGAAGACGACAAAAATTAATCATAGAGGCAATTTTAAGTTAGTTTTTACAATAGCCCACTGATGCCTGGCGCCCAAATTCTGTCAAACTATTTCGTCAAAAAATATTGACAAATGTTCATATAAGTTGAAAAGAGTTGATGAAGAACATTATGATTAGAAAAACCCACTGAGTAGAAATAACGATATATGATGAACAGAAAATTAGTCAAAAAAAACTTGAACCTGAGTCTTGTTCACATGCTAAATGAATATTTCTTGAACATTTTTGATTATTCGCATATAGTTGGTTTTTCTTAATACAATTGGGAGAAGAATATAACCCAATAAGAATTATACTGATTAAATAGTGTCCATTAAAATAATATCTTACTGACTATAATCTGAGTTAACTAAATTCCCAGACTTATCAAGTCAACATTTATCAGATATCATTCTAATTTTTTTTTCAAACTGCGTAGTTAAATCAAAATATCTTATCTCTTTTCAGAAAACAACAAGTATTTACAATGAGATCTGGATATTGTGCGAGTAACCGTATATTGTTAAGCATAGAAATATCTTGAAAAATCAAGCGAATTTGCGAACTAAAACTCATAAAAGAAGCTGTTCTACGCTAAGCTAAGGATATCAGAGTGTTTCGGTAAATTGTTGATAAGATATGACTAAGAAGAATGCTAACATTATGATAATTTTCATATTTTAATGTTTCTTCAACTGAGTAACTTTGGTTTATTTTAGGTTCGTCAATAGGTACGCTTGAAGCTATTACGGGTTCACCTTGGTCGATAAACGCAAACAAGACAATGAACCAGCGTCTAGGTAGGCTAACTTGATCCGAAAACGGCAAAAGAGAAGTCTTGATAAGCGTAGAAAGTATATTCTACAAACACCCAGCAAGCACACGAATCTCGTTTATTATATCATAGAATCCTCCTTGGGACAATTAAAAAAACAGCACACTAAAATACACAACATCCAATCACAGTCATGGATTTTCCTGGTGGGAAATGAAATCTCAAGGTCAACTGATCAGCCCATGCTCGCAAACGTGAAATCCAAAATAAGGCATTTATCAAGCGAGTTCTGGGGATCTACCGAACCCAACAGTTTAAAATATAATTATTTGCGAATCAAGTCTCTTACCTGAACAGCTTTTTTATTATCAAGCCAACCGATTAAAATCAAATATTCTGAAGATATATATATATATATATATATATATATATATATATATATATATATATATATATATATAAATTTTCATTGTTTAGTTACATATGATTTTTTCGTGATCTTTATTTTTACGTCTATTCATCTAATTTTGATCTACTTCCTATGGTGAAATAATCTTTGGAAATTTTATCATTCTTTTCACTCCTAGTTAATATATGTTCTTACTGCTCGGTTTTACTTGTTACTTATTCTGTTTATTTGCACAATCTGTTTGATTAGGATCATTGACTCATAATTTGCCTTGATTAGTTTAATATTTTAACATACTCTTATAGATATTCATGTTTATTCTAACGAACCATGATAACGATCTAATAAGAGAAAAATGTTGTTTATTTGTATTTATAGAAGTCAAATATATGTGTGATCTGGCTCTTCTATCTCACACGTAACAACAAATGCAAGAGAAGATGACCAGTGATGCAGCATCCTCAGCAGCAGTAGGTCTCAACATACATAAAGGGAAAAGCAAGATTCTCCGATACAACACGACATGCACCAACCAAATCACACTGGTCGGAGAAGGTTTAAGATCCTTTACATATTTGAGCAGCCTCGTTGATTAGGACGGTGGATAAGATGCAGATGTGAAGGTAAAGATCGGGGAAGCAAGGGGCAGCATTTATACAATTTTTAACCACATCTGGAACTCAAAACAACTATCAACCAATACCAAAGTCAGAATTTTCAATGCAAACGTCGAGACATTTCCACTGTATGCGGAGGAAATTTGGAGAACTACCAAAGCCATCATCCAGAAAATACAAGTATTTATGAACAGTTGTCTACGCAAAACACTTCGGATTCGTTGGCCAGATACCATCAGCAACAACCTACTGTGGGAAAGAAAAAAACAGATTGCAGTGAAGGAGGAAATCAGGAAGAAGCAATGGAAGGGGATAGGAAACACAGTGAGGAACTCACTGAACTGCGTCATAGAACAAGCTTTCACTCGAAACTCTTAAGATCAAAGGAAAAGTGGAAGGTTGAGGAACACAATTCGTCGAGGAGTAGAGAAAGACATGAGACGAACGAACAACAAATGGACAGAATTGGGAAAGGAAGCCCAGGATAGAGTCGGTTGAAGAATACTGTTCGGTGGCCTCTGCTCCATCGGGAGTAACTGGCGTAAGTAAAATTAATATTTGTTGTTATAATTTTCAGTGGTTATGTTTAATGTTTAGATAACCTCCAGACTCAGACAATTTTTTAAGATAAACAATTAATAATGTAGACAATCTCAAAATCACTTTTGAGAAACTACATTCAATTTTCTTACATTTTGTAGTGCGTGTCAAACATGCTAGGCACACATGGCTTATCTTTGCTTTTGAACAAACTACTTAAACTTTTCTGCTCGCTCATTTTGACCTTGTCGATTATCCGCTTAAAATCTCGGTTATTTTTAATTGACTGAGTTTGTGTATTGCTTACTCAACTTATCACATGTCTAACTTATTTTTGTTTGACTATAGATACTTATTTACATCTCATCGACTGAATTCAACCACATGATTCACTGTTATAGTATATTTTAATGTGAAAATTTATATTGTTGATACAATAATATATTGGATGAAGAATAATTCATCTAGTCAGGTTCCACAGTTCCAAGTCAAATCTATCAAAAATTTATATTGAATAGTGTGAATTTTATCATTGATCATTATAAAAGTTTTTAATCTGGAGTTTTTCAAATATTGAAATCATTATTATACTATGTTTACTCGAAAACTTCAGAAATCGATGTAAATTGGAGTAAATTATAAATTAAACCAATAAGCAGAAGAAATATTTTATTAAAGAGTGCGTGAATAAAATGCTACTGAATAAAATGAGGGTTTTTTCTATTTCCACCTCACTTTATGTTTAATCAGTTTATAAAATATAAATTTAGAAACACTTAACAATATAATCATGTAAATATTTCATAATATTAAGATAAAAAAAAATCATATACTCTACAGTGAACTTAGTTTGCTAGTCAAAAAAACTTCATCTCATTTCTTACACTAATGATTTTCTACATTTCTTCATGTAAACTTGAGTGTTATACTCATCAACTGTTTGATTCATTTATCTGTCATTCAATCATACTACTTATCAATCGAATATAAGACATTTATTGTTTCATATAACGGTATGCCTTAAGTCGATCTAGATCAAGCCATAGACTTTGACTAGAAGATCATTGAAAACTGGGAAATACTGAAAAGCCTGCTCATTCTATATAACTAGAGTTAAAAAAAATAAGCAATCTGAAACCATTGAGGATTTGATCGTTAGTATGATAGTTCATACACAATGTTAATGAGTTAAAAACTAGGACAAAACACCTAATCAATACTTCATTGGTTTCAATGGTTTTTTTAAAATTTAAATTTAATCTGTGATTTAAATTAATTTCACAACATTCAAATCATTTTTATACGAATGATTTGTGAAAAATAGAAATGATTATAAACTGAGTGGTTTTCACTCACACAATAAAACTGTTTTATTTTTAAAAAAAAACGAAATAGGTTGAATCGCAAAAATTCAAGTTCAAGGATATTTGTATTACAAAAAAAGAGAGAGAAAATATTTAGGTCGTCTACTGTTCCTGCTACAGTATGGTTTGTTCATAATTGATCAAATATTCATCATATTGATTATTACTATTATTCAGTGGTATTTATTTATACTAAAAGCATATGGTTGTATTAATTTTTTTACTTTTTTTGAAAAAATTACTTGATAGTTAATTTATATATAGAGAGAGAGAAAAAAAAAGGAGAGGAAATAACAGTTGTAATAAGTTAGGGATATCTAATCATTATTTTCTAATTTTTCATATGAATAAACTAGGTCATGGAATAGTTTGAAAGTGTGGATCTTTTTAGTTTTGTTAACGTTCATGTTCTCTTGATTAGTATGCATAGATTACTCTAAATCATGAGTTAGTGAAGGTTTTCGAGAAATTTTTATTAATGTGGGAACTGACAAGTAGTGGAGTAGGGAGACTGATACTCTCTTCAGTATATAACACTAAGACTGAGTTATTAAATGTACTATTAACCTCAACTAGGAATAGAGATGTTCCAGTAAATAAGTTTGATGTGTTTGATGTATGCTGTGATGTTGAGGCACATAGGTCAGTAGTTAAATGACAAACTAGGTAAATTTAATACAACTACCAATCAAAAACTGACATGACAGGCAACACTGATCATTTACTATTTGTTAATATTGCATTTTGAAAAAATTAACATATTTCAAATCATATTAAGCAGAAATAGATAGTGGCTGACATTTGAATTCAGTACATGTGTTTTATCTTATTTAGTACTTAATAGCTGAATGAACCCTACATCCTAGAGTTATTGTTAATCTTGAGACTCGAACTCTGTATTGTTCACTCTAAACTCCAGCTCGTTATTCACTTAACTTCTTGGGGATTTACTTATGCTGAAAGTGATCGGTCAGGTGCTGTCCTAATCATCGAAGAGTTTGATTGAAACAAACAATATTTATGGTAAAATCATGATAGTTTTGACAAGGAATTTTGTAGGATACGCTTCTTCTTGTCCTTGAATCTAAAAATAAGTGTACTTTGGAATATCTTTCGTATTTCTGACTAATCTATTCATTTTTCATAAAAAAAACCTAGAACCTAAGCAAGTTTGAACATATTTTTACATTATAA